TACTCATGTTTTGCATGCCGTAGTTGTGAAGCCCATTGACCACACGTCCAAGTCTCGAGAGGACGAGGCATCGTTCCTTCCCACAGCACTTGTCGCTGATGATCAATCGTTGATTCCTACTTTACCAAGGGTAGACCAAATTTTTTTCCCTACATGTATCTTACATGTCCTACCGATATCACTTCCGCCATTTTAGCCCACCTGCAAAAATCCCAGAGGAGATGTCGAGGGGGGGGGGGGGATCGACATAGCGTTGTTTTGCGTCTCGGGGGGACTGGTGGGTGCGGCGAACGGGTACCGGCGGGGTCGGGTCATGCATGGGTAATACCGTAGAGTTCGTCCCAGAGGAGCGGGGGACAGAGGAAGCGTTCGTGCCGGGTGTGTTCCCCATCGGAACGGCGGGTCGCGCCTCACTCACAGACATCGCGCCTGTGTTTCGTGAGAGAGGAATTACGCGTGATCGGCAGCTACGCGTAGCACAACGGCCAAGGGGGTGCAACACATGAATACACCCCCCCCGCTCCACACACACGCCCCCTCGGTGTTTGCCATCGGGGCTGGATTTTCGTCGCTTGGCAACGACGTTGTCAAACAAGCCAATTCGCTTCGTGAACTCGGCAACCAGGTTACCGTTGTTTGTTTTACCTCTGCTTGTTTTTTTGCGGTAACCATAATGGTGGTCGAGTAGATCATGTTGTGCGGGGTGGAGAACCCTCACTCCGCGCAAGGGGGATGATCGCACCACGCTGTGATACAATGGTCACGCATCCTCGAGGCAGTTACACAGTGCTTACAACTGTCTCTGGAAGTGAAAGCACCAGAAATTAATTTAAGTCACACGCAGCTGCATCCGTACGCAAGGAAGTAAGCACAAGATGTCGAACACCCTCAGCAGGATGCAGCGCGCCCTTCATGCTACTCGACGAATATCTCACGGCGCTTCGCGCTTGGTTGATGTGAGCGCCTGGTCCGGTGAGAACCCGGCGTGCTCCGTCCCGGCTTTGTAGGGATGCGAGGTCAATGGTCTAACGACTACGGCATACACGACTATGAGTACACCCCCTATGAGTACACACACACCCTGCCTTCCTGACTCAAGGCATGGAATGGGTGAGCTAAGCGACCGCCGCCGCTCGCCCATTCCCCGCTGCCCCCAGAGTGCTTCATCACGATGTACAAAATTGAATCTCTCCTTCCTCCGTCGCACCTTGAGATGAGCCCTCAAGGAACCCCACAGATAGCGGACTATCGACAGCACCTCCCCGACCACGTTCACGCCTCCGCTGGCGTTCGTAGACAGAACAACGGGGGAAGAAACACGGGTCATTATCGATGTTCGACGAGTGAGAAGGGGATCATGGTGTATAAGCACGAGAGAGTCTCACATAATTTATCGACACGCACAGCAACGCAGGGTGTCTTCTTAGCATGCAGCGAGAGGGGCTCACACGTAACAACCCAGAACGCACAGCTTGGGTGTTGGGAATGGTCCATGCAACAAAAATAACTCTTACCAAATGTGCACGGCAACCAAAAATATGTAACCCACCCACGACAACAGCGGCACCTCGAAGAGAACCCCTACCAAAAAAGGCAACACTGGTATATAGACGCATTCAGGAATCCTTCGATCACAACGCCGCCTCGCGTACAAACATCGTCAGCTGACCGCTGCTGAAGCACGACGTTTACAAGGACTCCAAAAAGAAAACAGCGCCCCCCAACTCGATTGCACCGCACCGCACCGCACCGCACCGCACCACACCGCACCTTCCCTGCATCAAGTGCAGCAGCACGAAGCACAGGTCGTCCCTGACCATCTCCAGCAGCGACGGGTAAGCCGCCAGGTTGCCGCCCGCCGCCGCCAGCGCCGTTCTCATCAGCCGGAGGCAAAGGATCCGGCGAGGGGTGGGCCCCCTCGAAGCCCCTTCTCCCCTGGAAGAAACGCCGCCAGCGGTCCCGGAAGCCCCCGCCCCGCCGCCACCCCCCCTCCGCATGAGCTGCGAGCACAAGAAGCCGAAGACTTTGACGGCGCACGGTAGCCCGCAGCCGCCGCTACCTCTGGCTGCTCCGGCACGCCGCCTCTGCGGCTGGCTCGAGAAGGAGGAGGAGGAGGAGGAGGAGGAGGAGGAG